ATAGGTACGCTACGATTAATCGAAGTCAAACCTGTGTTAATTTTCTTCGTTGAAGTACAGTATAGTAGTCAGCACAAGCTGAATCTCACCTAGACTGGATTGAAATCGCCGGCTGCTTCCTGCCAATGTTGGCCACAGACTGATAAGGAGACGTCGCCACACAAACTTGGACGCATTTTGCATACGCCGTAATTACGGGAATCCTTACACTACGCTACACTACCCATTCCTACACCTGAGAATCCGTCCATTGATCCATCCATGCCATGAGGCAACTATGAAGAAAAAAGAACCCACGAACTGGGAAACGATCCCGTTCCTTAGTCTACACTAAAAAGGGCCGCCTCCACCCTTCCCTCGGTCCTGCCCGTCCGACCGCGTCCGGGTTCATGATCCTGCGAGCGTCTAGTGCAGTGTAGTGCAGCTTGGCCTCGGGTATACTAAGCTAACACGCTACGACAGAGCTCACTACACTCTATTTCACGACTGAGTATACTTATACACGCGTAGTGTATAGTGAAGCAAACAAACGAGCCGCGGGATTTCCACTGTGGCGTTGCTGAGTAGCGTGTCAGTGGCGTAGATAAGATGTACGCCAGAAGCTTCTGGCGTAGCATATGGAAGCGAGTGCTGGGCGGGTGCAACGGAAGCATTCCTGCTGGTCGTATCTGCTTCCGCCCTCATTCGATAAGGCTCTGGTATTTCCACGCTGGAGAGGGAGATCCTACAATGAGATAAATGCGTGTCTGTGCTGGTCTTTATCGCTTCCATGATATGGACGAGCCGAGGTTAACGTTCGCGCGCAAGAGCTAGGCTCTCGAATGAATGGTAGGCTCACTTACTGGACGTGTCGAGCCGAGTTTAAGGGATACTCATAGTACGATATCAAAGATCTTATCTAACGTCGCAGAGTCGCGACGATGTCCCCAGAACATATATGGCAACGTAACAGAAGCAGCCGTCGATCAGTCCCGCGAGAAGATAGGAAATAAATAACCCAATTCGTAGAAACACAGCTGTCATAGGCAGATTTAATTAGCGAGGCTCGTTCACAGAGATGTCGCGGCATACTTACACAGCATTGTCTCATTGTAAAAGTCAGAGAGGTTGTGGTGGTAGCTTCCCTGGGCGTATATTCGTCAGGCCACGCAGCCGCATATTCGCCATCGTTAAGGGGACAGGTCATCACGTCCCCGCGCGGATCAGCGACGCAGTAGTAGTAGGAGGAGGAGGCAAACCGCAGTTGCACTGCACTACTACTGCATACACGCTACAACATAGGAAGCCGCGATGATATGAGGGATGAACGCCCTTCCTAACGTTCACACCCGACGTTACACAGCAGGTGCCGATCACCTACAACAGGTATTAACAGGGAGAAAAATAAACTGGCTTTAAACTTTTATACAAATACTTTCAAAAACGTAGCTGTGCGGCACAGCTTGTTTTTCTATTTTGCTCCTCGGCAGAAGCCCGATCGATAAGCATACTTGCGACAGGAAGGGAGGACAGAAGGAGGCGAGGAAGGGAGGAAGGCAAAGGGAAGAGAGGCGAATCCCCCTATCCTTTGATCTACGAACCCAGTTGCCTGGCTTAGTAGGCACTCATAAAGAAAGAATGCTACACACAGATCCATCGAGAGGTTCAACCCAGCGGGTGAACTCGGGAATAGAGTGGAAATGTTTTTTAAGCACTAAACAAAACCGCCCGTGTCCTGGCACAGGAATTGTTGGACGGGTTATGTACTTACCCTTAAATATACTTAGGGGTCGATGAATTTTCCAGTCTCGTGCGGATTGCTGTGCACTGTTAGGCTAGTGCACTTCACGGTATGGACAACGCGCCTCGGAGGCGCTGGTATCGAAAATATAAATGCGCGGGTACAATTTGCCTGTTCGCAGAGGAGTGAAGCCAGCTAAGGTTCGTTTCAAGGAATCTCGGTCGTCCAAATGAATGTATATTATGTGCTGGCCAGTCTCGAGCCATTGTTTCCTACATACTTGCATACAGGGTATATCGAACAAATTGCTCCCGTGAAAGCGCAATACCTCGTTCTACCCAATCTGGGCAGGGTACAAACAGGAAACATGCGTCGCTGCATGGTATAAACTGATCGCATTGACAGTGACCGATCTATATGGGTAAGCAGTGCTGAATGCGCTATATCCAACGCCATTCTATGCATCATTAATCATAAAAATATTGTTCGGTATTCCGGCGTGGCTGTCCCTCTCTCGCCGTCAATTAACCAACCTCCCTGGGACATACTGCTGCTTGCAAAAATTACTGTGGCTTAAGGAATTGGCCGTCGAAGCGGATGGGCTTCCGTATTTAAGACGTATTCGTCTAAGTTTATCAGATCTGGTGACGAGAATATTAAGTAGAAATACCGAAGAGTCTCGGCCAGCCAGAAACTCTACATAAGAGTTAGTGAGTAAGCCACCACATGTGGTGTATGTGTATTAAGAAGTGATTTACGAACCTCCATTGAATCGGCCTTTACCGTCTCAGTCACCTTAACGGACTGAATCGCCGAAAAAGCCAGGTCCGTCTCTGTCGCGTTACGAATCGATTGAAACATTCTCCATGCCATTTCCTGATACTCGCTATCCCCGGTCATGCGGTACATTAAGAATACGCTTTCGATAGCCTCGGGTCGAAGAATATAACGGGGATCTTGAACGCTTCTGATACCCTCTTTCAGGTTCGTGTTGCCGACAACCTCCCATTCCTCTTGGTCCCACTCGCACGGCTCTAAGCTTTCGCATTTGATCAGGCTAAAGACCTCAGGCATGATACCAGCCGGCAGGGCGTCATATGCCCACACACATCCCTTTGTGATCTTTTCGCCGATTTCGACATGTTCTGGGATCTGGAAAAGCTTTCCGCCTAGCCCGAACATGCCACCAACAAAGCAACCGAGATGTTGGGTTTGAGCGTTGAGACTCGGACCCTGACCGGAGACCCAAATGTTGCCCGAGAACAAGATATCGGCCTGATCAGGCAGCTTGGGTCGAAATAAGATGTTCTTGATCACTGTATCCATCGCCCCGCGGTACAGTTTCTCGTACAACGGCTCTAGTCCACCCAGTATAGCGAATGCTTTTGGAAGATACTCATAAAGACTATCGGCAGAGGCACCCAAGGTGAAACTGCTATCTGAATCCAACTCTAGGCGTTGCAGGTCAAAGTAGGTAGGCCACATCCCGGGAAGGTTTGTCCTATTTTGCCAATCGTCTAAGACTTGCGTTACTCTATTGATTGCATCATAATACTTGTTGTCACCAGTTAGTTGCGTCAAACGTGTGAATTCGAGAGATGACGATGCAGCGGCGGCTGAAGGTTCACGGGTCCCGGCAACCTGTTGGCCCGTTTTGGCGTCTTCAAAGTCCAACCAGAAGCTAGGCATGCGGTTGGGGGTATCATATGCCATGTAGAGCATATCACCAAGCTCAATGGCCTTCTCCAACAGCGCCGTCTCCAGGCTCAGGTCGTAGGCGCTGAGTAGGCCGCCAAGGTGGCGTATGGTGGTTTCGAAGTAGTTGCAAGACGTGTCCTTCGTCTTGGAATAGTCTATAGTGACGGCGGCGGCGGCGGCTTCGTAGAATTCGTCCTGGAGGTCCATTATCCAGAGAGTCGACAAGGAGTCGATGAGAGTGGCACCCCATCCGCCAAAGCCGGGCACGTCGTATCCCCCTCCGGACACGGGTAAAAGCTCGTCATATCCGAAGCCGACGTTCTTGTAGCTCGTCCAACTCTTGACAAATGCTTCTTTCACTTCATTGCGCCGCGATGCCAGGACGGCCTCCCGTGCGACGCCCTCGGGGCTCTTGTCTTCCTTGAACGCATACTGGACGGCAGGTAGCGATTGAGGCGTACCGGTCGGTAAGGGAGTGTACTCGGTTACGGGATAGAATTGTTTCTGCTGCGACCAGTCGTAGTGATCACGGACGTAGACGAAGCCCCAGAGCACGTCGCTGGTGTCGGGAACGAGGCCGACGAGCAGATACACGAGGATGACGAGCAGCAGCGCGAGCACGACCCGGGACTTGCGGCGGAGGATTGGGGTCATGGCGTCCAAGGGTTGGTCTCGAATCTGCCAGGCCACATCCTCGGCGAGCATGGACAGCACAGCTCCTGTGTGACCCGAGCCTGGATGATGATGCCTCTCACGGTGCCACCGTATCGGATACTCCAGGACGAATGCTGCCGGCGCATCGAGGCAGGCAGGGTAAGGTACTATTACTATTATGACACTAGATATTAAAGTTGTATGAGCGCAGCGAATAAAGAAGCTGAACTGGCGCCGTCAAGGGATGCGTAGTGCGTAGTGTAGCACTTAGGCTAAAACAAACAGGGTTATGTTTACGTTAAGGAATGAAGCCAAGAAATAGGAAGCTTGGCAGGCCAAGACTTACCAGGCAAGGAAGAGCCATGCTCAATCAATCAACGTGGCCACGTGCCAGAATAGTGACCTGAACCCTGTACCTAGCACCTGTATCTAGCGCTATAACACTAAGTATAGCGCCCTGGGTAGGTCACCTACAGTAGGTAGCTAGGCACTCACCCAGCCAGCTTTCAGGGTCACATATTATCCGGATTGTCCGGATAACTCTTCATCTTCGGGCCATCAAAGACTTGATGTAGTAACCAGAAGACACGACAAGAAAACAGCTCACCGGCCAGTCTTGGTATCTGTTTTCTACCATTGAGCGTAGAGTACAGAGCGCGTCCATTTATCTATTAGCAGTAGGACAGGGCGTTGTTATTTGCGGCAGTAGAAGCTATGCTATACACCCATGGCTATGGTAGAACATTTCCTATGAGTAGCCTTATTTCGCCTAAAAGATACTACTGTTGAACTTCTGAGTTTAAATATGACTAAACTAATCAAAGAATATCTACCTAGATGAAGTGATTTGAAACATCACCTGCTAACGGCAGTGATCTTATTGAAATTTGACGACTCAACGCCCACGAGAGGAAAAACACCCCGCAGCGGGCACATGGTCTAGTGGTATGATACTCCCTTCGCATACAAAATTCATGTGATTTGGGAGGGGTCCGGGGTTCAATTCCCTGTGTGTCCATGGATGTCAATCGATTACTCTCATGAGCGTTCGAAAGTTTTTTTAGTTCTTTTCTCGAACTAACTTGACTGCGAAAATGGCCGTGGGAGTATGGTAGCTTAAACAGAGATCAACAGCGTTAATCCTCTGCGCTGGCAAACGTAATTGATCATTACGGCGGTGTTGGCAGGCGCGACGGACAGTGTACACAATCCAACAGCAGCACTAAAGCTTTAATAAACATTTAAATAACCATCATGGTTGAAGGATCAACATAATTCATGCAATCAATCATTTATTTAGCCCACATGCAGTAAACATCCCTAGAAGGCCAGGCTGCCTTTTATGAATCGAGGAACAGGCAAGAACCGACAGAGAATTCACGGCTATCCAGGGAGGCCGCTGAGCTCAGTAAGTGGTGCACAAATCTACGAAAAGTATGACAAGAGCTTTATACAAAGTCCAGCACCCTCCCGGGGGCCATACCAGACTTCTACTACCTGCCGATCACGATGACAATACGTCTACAGGCCTCCATACCCGCGCCGCAAACGTGCCGAAGCCGCTAATCATATGCTTCCACGGCTCAGGCGAGGCCTGCTCTCCGACCTGGGACGCTCTCGCCACAGCGCTCGTGACGACGCTGCGCTGTCGCGTGCTACTCTATGATCGCGGGCCCGGCAATTTGCGGCCTGCGGAGGTCGCGGCGGAGATGTGGGATTACGTTACGGCTACTACTACTACGGCTGCAATTATCAATAAAAGCGGGAGTGAAAAAGATGTATATGAGGAGAATGAGAATGAGGAGGAGACTGAGGGTGCTGCCAATGATAATAAGACAAGGGGTCCTGAAGCCAAGCATGAGCTTCACGGGCCGTATCTTCTCATCGCGCATTCTTATGGTGGTGCTTTTGCGCGGGCTTTCGTGCAGCATGAATACGACCAGGAGCACAGAAACGGATACCTGATTTGGCGGAAGAAGAAACAGAAGAGGAAAAACAAAAAGAAGAGTGGTCATCGAGTAATGGGCCTCGTGCTCGTAGAAACAGGCCAAGAAGGGGGTCTGGATCCGGACGTAGACGAGCGCCAGATCCGCGAAACGATCATGGGGGCGCGGCCTGTGTGCGTTATCAGGGGTAACAGTCTCTTGCAGAAATGGAGTGAGATGGACGAAAAAGAGAAGGCTTTGAATAGGGAGATGGAAGGAGGGAATATGGCAGAAGACAGCACGACGCGCCGGCAGATGCTGGCAACCGAGAGGGAAATGCTCGCGCGCGTCGACGCCGAGGACGAGCGGCTTAAGCGCAGACAGCTCGGACTCTCGAGGACGACTCGTTTCGTACACCTGCCGGATTGTGGACATGATGTTATTTCGAAGCGGCCTGGGGACGTGGTCGATGGTGTGCGGTGGGTGCTGGAACATGCTGAGGAGGAAGAGGCGGAGGAGGAGGCAGGACAAGAACAGGGGGGAGAGGAGATGAGTGCTTGGAAGTTGGCTTTGGAAAAGTTGAGATGGTTTGGTTTACGGCGGTGATGGCTCGAGTCAATGGATTAGTTGGTCGCCTTGCTTAAGAGATGTATGCTCCCTGATACTCAACATATGCGTTCTCCCTGCCTGTCTGTCCATGTGTCCAAGCTGACAGCACGACCTAATGGTGACGCAGCTGTTTCAATGTGGGCAGATACTTATGAACTTCTACGGATATGTGCGGGAAATTATCAAACATCGTATAATACCACCGATCTCAGATTACGTTCCCCCTCCTTCTGAATTACGCACGCAAAGATTAAAGCAAAAACTCAGCGCATCCAGAATGGTTTCTTCCTCTTCTATTATCAAAAAGGGTACCAACGAGGCGAAACCTGATAACTGATCGATAATTCTCTTTAGCGCATCTCTACTGTCGTTATTACACATCGTCTCCCGTAGCGAGATGTCTAACAATCACCTGCGAATGGAATATAGCCGGTATGAACGGTGCCAAGGTTAGGCACTGCCGCGAAATCGGGTTCTGCCGGGCTTAATCGTCTAAGCTTGGGGTAGCTGTGCGTTGCTGTGTTGTTCGATCCCATAGATGATTGGTTTAAAACTGATTCCATATTAACGCAGCAATCTGGGTACTGCTTGATTACCGCTTACGATAATGAAGGCATTCACATAGACAAAGCAATGAATGGGTGGTATTCGTAAGGTACAAAAAGAGTACAGATCTTCATAGAATAATGATTATGCAATATATTTGAAGCGGGGGTATATCCAAACCATGCGCCATCTATAAATCATCACAACCCATCCCTTGATCAGGGCGGTTGGTAATCCTCAAACGCCCAATGCTCGCTTTTTTTTGGTCCAAATCAGCTCAAGCCCTGCACATGCCGTAGTGCTTCGTTTCAAATCACGACGCCGAACTAATGCTAATAAAAGAAGAAATCACCGCACGAGTGCCATGCAAGCCGACTTGAGCAGATCAGGAGAAACCGGGAAATATTGTCCGTGCAGCACGCTTCCCTGCAACGAGGTTAGCTGACTTAGCATGATAAAATGATGCTATTGGGGGGAAGCACACATTGAGGACGCCCATCATCACTGTTTGTCTCGTCGATAGGCGTGACCAACTCTTCCATCCGCTGTCTTGTAGGGCGCGGAGGGCTGGGCTGTTTCTGCAGTTGGACCGAAGTGCCAAGCTCTATAGCAATCGAGCCTCTATCGTGCGAAGCTCGACGGTCGAAGCCATTTCTATTTAACAACCGTCGCCACCCACTTCGAAAACCAGTCCGGAAGCCGCGCTCGGTTCTTAGTTTTCGCGTGCTCAGCTCTCTTCGAACCATCGAGTTCGTAATCACAGGACAGTAGCCCCGTGGGTACATCGATGCCTTGCAAATGGGGCACAGCGAGCTCATCTCACTCAGGAATTCGTCGATACATTCGGGGTGGAAAATATGACCGCAAGATAGTTCGCGAATGATGGTTACCTTTGATTCGAAATCATCTAAGCAGATCTGGCATTTAGGTTGATAATCCAGTCGGTCACCATGCTTTCCACGGTTGTAGCTGGATGACGGAGAAGCAGAGTCGAAAGATACCTTGCCGGGAGATTGAACGGACTTGCGAAGATTCGACGATGGGGATATGGGGTTGTTGTAGTTGTATGTAAACAAAGGGTAAGTTTGAATATGGGCGAGTGGTACAGTAAGTCGTTTGATGCCCAGGGCTTCCAGGTTTACCTCGCCGTTCATGACACGACGGCGAAGAGATGCCCGTCGGCGGTTCTGGACCCAGTGCATGAGCAATGAAGTCCCACCAATGACACCCACAAGGACACCCAGAATGATCAATACCAAGGCCCAGATGGCCAGCAGCGAAGGTTCAGGGACCACAGTCAACTGTGTCCAGACCCTTACATAATCAGCGGGGTTTGGGGAATATGTTTTGTTAATTTCGTCGGCGAAAGGAACCTCGGACAGATCCCCGGAATATAAACTTAACTGCTGCATCATGCGCTCTCCCGAGCCACTTGCAACTGCATAGACGGGGAAGTGATTTTGATCCTTCCAGCTTCCTCTTCCATCTATATTCCATAGATCAGAGTCAGCCTCAGGTGGTTGGCCATCCTCATCATCTGGCCGATACACGAGCATAGCCCTTAAGGGATCCATGGATGCGGCCCCCAAGAAAGACTTGGTACAGCTGGAATTGATCCATGGCACAAGGGCGATGAGTATGTAGTCTGTAGGCGGGAGGTTTGCTTGCCGTGTGGCATTCGACGGTATGTATTGGTTTGACAAGCCAAAGCACTCGTCGTCAGAGAGAAGATCTGGGACATATAACAGACCTTGTATGGTCCCTTTGGTCGTAATCGCATCAGTAGTGGAGAGAGTGGTGATGTTTGCAGGAATAGTTTCTGAATATGCTATCTGGCTCTAATGGGGGACTAATGTTAGGCCGAAGGCAGATTTGCGAAGTGATCACGATAACATACCGAGAGGGCAGTGATGTTTCTGATAATGGTGCTAGGGACGGTATGACCGTTGGACCGCGTGGGATTGCTGAACAACAAACTGTGCTCTGGTTAGTGAGACGACGATGATAAGAGAAACAGCCTGACGAGAATGCCGGTCGACGACGTCCGTGATGGGACACGGGGAAAAAGCAATATCGGCCACATGCAGTAGGTGACCAACACGGGCCACGCCACAAGCTCTCACACCCACAGCCAAGTGTTGATGTTAGCCGCAAGGCCGGTGTCCATCAGGAACGGAACTTGACTTGGCCTTGGCTTTAGCCTTGGCAACGACCACGCGTCCCCCCGGACGACCCGACGGGGACCTCAGACCGAGGAGGTCGGGCCGTGTGCTACGGAGATGGAGGGGGGCAATGACGCGGTCAAGCTTTTCCAAGCACGTCCGAGGCTGACGGCAGGTAGATCTGGCACGGGTTGCTGGTGGGAGACAAAGGAACATATTGCTTGGCAACCTACACAACATTCCGAATGGCTTGAAGTGCTGTAAAATCACGTCAGTTGCCGCTGTGCCAAGGAGGCTTAAAAAGAGGGCTGGGTTGGCGCCAAGAAGTCCCGATCAACCACATCGATAAATGATGTTAAACCATTGGCGCGCGCAGACCCGAGCGGATGGCGAAGCGAAAGCTAAGATTAAGAAAGGGGAAAAATTAAAAAAGAGGAAAAAGACAAGACAATGCAATACAAGACAACACACTTTTCCATTCTATTCCCGATGAAGATCCGGGACGGGAAGGGGAAGGGAAGGAATGCGAAGAGAAGGCCTCGACGCGCGCCAAGGGGGGAGGAAAGGAGGCGAAAGCCAAGGCCAAGACACGGCGAGAGACATACACATGCTCCTGAATCATCATTCATAAACAAGTCGCTGAAACACCGACAACGACAATCGGCACGGGCGGGCGGGGAGAGACCGAGACACACACAAGCACGGCGCACACTTCGCAACTCACTCACACTCACTCGCACGCACGCACACACACTCTGGACGTGGGGAGAGGCGGG